CTCACATAGCCTCTCCATGGTTTTTAAGAAAAACGATGTGAGACTAATTGGTCGGAATGCTTTTGGTAGGGTGTAGTCCATCCTACCTGGTTTGGGTATAAATACTACTCTTACTTCTCTCCACTTACTGGGAATATACCTCAGAGCTAGAGAGGCTCTGAATATTCCAACCAGGTGTGGCATAAGAGTGTCCAGTCCCCACTGAAGTAGGGCTGGTCTTATACCGTCAGGTCCTAGTGACTTGAAGGGAAAAAGCCCGATATAGCCCATCTTATTTTGTCCTCATTAATTACTGTACTAGCATATTGCCAGTCATATTGTGAGGGTGTTATTGGTACATCTGTCCAGTTCGCCGTTCCAGGAAAGACAGAACCTGGGAAGTGAGTTTCCATAAGAATCTCAGCACTCTCCTGGAGGTTGGCGGCTTTGTCGTCATTTTCCCTCGTCAGGATGCCGATACTTTTATGGTGGTTATTTGAGAGTGCCTTCTGTAGCCTAGAAGCCTCACAATAGGCTCTCCAGGCTTCTCTTTGCTTTCGTCTGCAGACTTTTTTGAACTCTCTGAGGTTGGCTTGAACCCAGTCCTCTTCGAGTCTTGTACGTTTTGTCTTGTTAAAGGTCTAGGAGTCTAGGCGTTTTATTATAATGTATTGTTTATTTTATGTATTGTATTGATTTTTTATATTAATTGGTAGATACACAGAAACCAGTGATGAATATAAAAAATACATAACAGGTAACACGTTCAATGTCTACCTATATTTAAAATTTGTAGCAGTGCCACTATCTTATATAATGTATAGTGGACCTAATTTTATTATTATAACTCTTTATTAGCAAATAATGCTCTTCATAGAACAGTCAGTCACTTAGAAAATACAAAGTCAAAGTCACATTTTAAAAACAAGAAACTAGAAAACAAGACAAATTATTGATGACAATTACTTGAAATATATTCAATACATTTTCTTATGAATGAATTTAATGAATCACAGCTTTTTATATGACTTGGCAAATTATTGAATGCAATCGGACCAGAACTATATAACGAGTCACAACCTATATGTTCTCTGTTGATATAAACATTTCCTATTCTATTTCTAGTGGAGTGTGCATGAATACTACTTGTGTAGGTTAACTGATCACTCAGATAATTTGGCAACATATTGTGTTTAATTTTAAATATAAATATTAGCATATTCAGTGTTATTCTTTGTTTAGCAGACATAAGAGACAGTGTTTCCAACATGTATTTCACAGTTGTGCGTTTATTACAACTTAATATTACCCTCATGGATCTGTTTTGAAGCTTCTGTAGTCTGTTTAGATTTTCATTGCCCACAAAATACAGTAATGTACTGCAATAGTCAAAGTGGGGTGCTATTATTGATTTATAAATTGTTAATTTTGCATATTCACGTATTTTATTTTTCAATCTATATAAAAGATGAATTTTCGTTGCTATTTTCTTCTGAATATAACTGCAGTGCGCATTAAGGTTCAATTCTTGATCTAATACCACTCCCAGATATTTAAAAGTTGTTACCCTTTCAATGATGACATTATCAATATAAAGATTCAATGACAGCTGTTCATCTTGCAGTTGTCTTAAACGATATTTGCTACCTATTAACCTGCATTTTGTTTTATTAACATTCAACTTGAGGCCGTTGTTACATAACCACTCGTTTATATTTAATAGTTCCTCATTCAAACATTCTGAAATTTCATTAGTTGTCCCAGAACAGTACAACATAGTGTCGTCGGCAAACAGTTTTATCTTACGCCTTTTAACTTGTATCACAATATCATTTATGTACAGAAAGATTAGCAGTGGACCCAATACTGACTCTTGAGGGATTCCAGAAATTACATTTGAAGTACTGGATGTCACTTGATCACTATATTTAACTAGCTGCTTCCGATATATGAGGTAATTTGTGAACCATTTTAATACTTTATAATCTAGTCCATACTTATTTAATTTCATTAAAAGTAACTCAGTGTTGACCGTCTCGAATGCCCTTTTTAAATCCAGAAAGACAACACCTACAATACGTTTTTTAGATAGCTCAACTTTCCACGAAGAGATTAGAAATTGCAGTGCAGTTTCACATGAATGGGATTCCCTAAATCTAGATTGTTCTTTAATCAAAATATGTTTCGCTATAAATTTCATCAATTGCACTTTTATTGTGATCTAATATTTTCTCATAAATTGGCAGGGTATTTATGGGTCTAAAATCAGATCCTGAAACGGTGTTTGTAATTTTTTCAATAGGAACGATGGTGGCAATTTTACAACCGTCAGGAATTGTTCCAGTGGTTAACGATGAATTTATCAAGTCCAAAAACCTATTTTCCGGTATTTCAAATGTTAACTTGATTATATTCAGATTAATTCCATTGTCATCTGTATTATTTTTCTTGAGGGAAAAATTATCTTTTTTAACTCGCACATATTCAATGTTTCAAATTCCCAAGTATCTCATTTGTTGGTATAATATAACTGAGAACATGATTATAATCATTTATTGTTACTATACTTTCGGTTAGATCTTTCAAACTCTCAACGAAAAATGAATTAAAATATCCTGCTACTTTTGCTTCATTTTTTATAAGAACACTATCAAATTGTATACCTTTGAACTCTTGTTTTCTATTTCCCTTTACTAAACCTTTCAGTGATTTCCACATAGTCCTACTGTTTCCTTTATTTTCGTCGATCTTTGATTCATAATACCTACTTTTTAGTTTCAATTCGTATCTTTTTGGTAACGAAATTACGACTTATTTTATATTCATCCCAGTCACATTGGAGTTTGGTTTCCTTGGCTTTTTTTATGAAGAAAATCGCGTTTTTTTAGATCTGCCATGATTTCGTCTGTAAACCACACTTTCAATTTGAAATTATTGAAATTATGCTTCCTAACTTGCATCTAATATAATTATTGATGAATGAATTGAATATTTCATTAATGTCAGTAATATCATTATTCCATAACATATTCATTAGGGACAGTTAGAATTTAATTCCATCAAAGTATTTATAATAATCTCTCCTACTTACTAGTGGAAGTTAATTTAGTATGAAATACATTACCTAAGGATATTAAAATATTAGAATGATGTGAAACACTTTGAAGATGAGATACTTCAAATTTCAACAACTTGTTATTTGTTATGAAATAATCAATCAATGTGGATGAATCCTTGGTGATTCTGGTATAATCATCAAATAATTGACACAGTCCCATGAATTTAATCAGTTCTTTGATTTTTCGGGTGTAAGTGTTCTCTGTCCCCTTTTAAGATTTAGATTGAAATCGCCCACTATAATAATATCACAATTACAAGTTACTATCTCTTCTAGTTTTTCTTCCAAGAATGCTAAGAAATCGGCTCCACACACATTATGTATACTCTATTATTTACAACAACCCTGATAGCCACAAACCAAACATTCATAAAAATAATATCTTTCAAAATTAGTTCAAATTTCAATCCACTTTTGATATATATGGCAACTCCTCCCGTATGTCTGCTGGATGAATTATTAAGTACTAGCTCATATCCATTTATGTTAATTTCATGAAGAGCAATATCATCCGTAATATGAGTTTCTGATAAACATACTAACAAAGGTTTATGCAACGAGATACAGTGCAACAAATTATCCAAGTTTTTTTATAAGTCTTTGTATATTTGTATAGAAAATGTGCCAAGTATGCTTATTTTTATCCTCAACTTGAGCATTTACATCCACACTCTCACTTGCTACAGATCTGGAGTATCCATGGAAAAATTTTCCTGATCACATGAAACAAATACTAAATTTTTATTTGCAACTACATTATAATTAAGATTTTCGACTATCTTAATAGATAATTCGTTTTTTGTTAAACATTTACCCTTATCATTATTTACATCTAAAAATTAACGAAAGTATTTGTACATTTATTCAACTTATATAGATATTAATTCAGTTTGTAATTGAATTTGTAAATTAATTTGTTATACTTATTACTCATACAGTAAGGAACTGATATAACATGCATATTTGTATGTAGACAGCTTTTGAGTTTACCATTCAATTTTCTAAAAAGTGGGTATTGTTCATTTCTGAAGTCATTTGATCCTCCTAAAATAATAATAGAATCATGTAATGTGAAATATTTTGCTAAATGGGGTAAGTTTTCGATAATGCTGTTCAGGCAAGCAAACGGTTTAATAATTGACAAAATATTATGATTTTCAAGGAGGCGACTTAACATTTCACCTAACTTATGACCAAATTGATCACATAAGAGCAATATCTTAACAGAATTGCTAGGTTTGACTGAATTTTCATTTTCATTACTTCTGCACATTCTATTTGTTTGTTCAACTTCATTTTTATGTGTAATTTTTTCTGTTACTTCTTACCCATGATTGACCTTATTCAAATGGAAAACTCCCAATCCATCTTGTAGTTTTCTCAGTTCCTTACTATAGTCATTGTTTTCGTCTTCCATACTACGACTATCTTGATCTAATTCCTTAATTCTAATTTCTATCTCTAATACTTTTTGATTTTTGTTAATAAATTCTTCCTCGTATGATCTAACGTTTTCGCGTGATTTAAAAACCTCTTTATTTAATTGAGAAATGATTTCACGTTGATCCTTCAATTTTTGAGCATCTTTATTCTCCATTTCAAACAAATCATTTTCGAAGTCTTGAGTTCTTTTATTCAGCCGCTTAATATAATTGTCTTTTTCCCCAATATCTTTATAGATGTTATCAACAGTTTGTTGCATTTCATCAATTTTTTCATTATACTCGACAGTTAGATTCTCTAATTCAATGTCCTTGTTGTGAATCACAAGTTTTAATTTTGAAATTTCTTCATGAAAATAGTTTTTTCTAGTTGTAGCGTCTTTATCTTTTCGTTTACAATTGCCGGAACAATAGATTTTATGACCTTCAAGAAGTTTATGGCACTTTTTCCTTTCCACACAAGGATTAAAAATGTCCAA